AAAAAAATGGACGAGTTTTTTAAAAATTTATTAATGTCGTGGAATATGGAATCTTTGATTCCATCTTTTGGAGGTAGGTTTATTGTTTTGATTGAATTAGCGAAGACTGAAGTGTGAACGTGTTTATAACCTCAAAACAATTTTGCGTTGTTTAGACGGTGAAATTGATGAAGAATCGTTTTACTTACTGGACAATGATACAATATCACTCATTATACCAAAACCAGAACCTCGCTTAAAATTTTTTAAAAAATTTCAAGATTACAAAAATCAAGTAAGTTTTTTTTCGTTTGTATAAATGTACATGTGTTTATTGAAATTTTTTTTTGGAAAAAAAACTTTTTCATATTTTTTCTTACTTTTTTTAAACTTAAAAATTAGTAAAATAATACAAATTCAATTGACTCTGTGAAAAAAATATACCGTTTGATAAATATATTTATGTTTAAGCAAGTCCTTTTTATAGACGGAGTGAAAAAATAGACATACTCTTTTTTATGTAAAAAGTTTAAAGTTTAAATTCTTATCGAAATGTCTTATTAAAATAAAATGAAATTATTTAAGTTTACAAAAAAAGCGAGGTTAGGTTCGTGTATATTTGCCACTCGAGAACGTAAAGAGATCGTATAAAATTTTTAACATCAAATATTGTAAATTGTACAATCAAATTTCTATAATCATCTGATAGTAAATATTACAATCTATATCGCTGTCTGTATATTTAGCACTAAATATGGTTGCCCTTAACATCATTATGTTACCCAGTAGCATAAATTTCTCTCCTCTTTGACTCTTATTGTTGTTACTATCTTAATTATTTCATTTTTGCAAAAAATTTCATTTTCTATATTAATTTCCTAATTTCTTATTTTAAATGAAGATTTAAAAAATAAAATAATATTGATTAATTTTATTGTTTTATTCATTAATTGTAGATAAATAATTTAGTTTTTCACATTTTTCACATTTTTACATTCTCATCATAAATGAGAAAGTATTAATTTAAATTTAGATTATTAAAAATTAAATCTTCTCTTTAGCATGCGATATTTTTATAAATGAGGTTGTTTTGAAGAAAATTTCAGTCACTTTCAATTAGAACAGTTTTGTGAATTGCAATCATTTAAAGTATAATTAACACAAACTTGACCTAGAGACTTTCACATTTCTTATGGATATATTATTATATATTAAATATATGTTACACTAACATGAAATAACTATTAATCGTAAAATCAAAATGATTTTTTCTGAAAAATGTACATATATATGACTAAATCTTCAAAAATTTCTTAAAATTAATTTTTATTATATTTTTGTTTGCATTAAAAACTATTTCTTAGTTTAAGGTTATATTATGTTATGTTTTTGGTCTGTGTAATCAAAGATTTTTTATTTGCATTCTTCTTTGACTGGACCTAAAAAAATTACTTTTTTTATATTATATATTTATATAAAAATCTGCTTTTGATTTTTGAGAAAAAAAAACATCAAAAAGTTAAATGCATTGGTTATACTTTTATATACATATATAAAAGAGTTTTCAATTTTGTGAATTCAATTTAAACTCTCTCAAGACATATAATTATCTTGAATCTTAGTTTATCCTTTGAGGATGTACACACAACAAAAAACAAAACAAACCGAGGTTTATATACATATATATATATATATATATATATATATATAAAATAAGTTATATACAGAAAACCAATTTCATTCCACAATGGAAACAAGTTTTCAGTCATTTAGTTCAGGCGATGTTTCACCCCCGACAGAAACAGAAAATACGTTGCAATGTCCTAACCCAATGCAAACTTCTATAACGAGATTATCTGAATACTGTCATGATGTCGGATAATGTTCGTTAACGGGAATATAATTCCACTCTAAAATACATTATTACAAATTTTATCATTTTTGTAACAAAAGCTCAATTCAATATTTAATATTGAATCTTTTTTCATTTGATATTATATACAAATTATAATTTTTATTTTATAATAAATATGATTCTTCAAATACATAATTTTTGTAAAAAAAAAAAATATATATTAAATATGTAACAAAGTTATATACATGGGTGATTCTCGGCGTAGCCCACAACTTGCTTTTTTTCATGTTGTGAAAGAAAAATCCCAAATAATGTTCACATAATATTTCGATACCAATGTAAAAAGGTAATTTCTGTGATTACAAACAAAAACCAATAGTTACTTTTGTATTTAACATTATAATTTTTCGTGAAAAGTGGTTTTTAAGGCTGAAAACGTCAAAATTTCACCTGTCCCCACAGGATGTTTAAACAAAAAAGTTAATATTTTTAGCAATGTGCACTAATAAATACAATTTCTGTTGCTATTTTAGTATTGTATATTGTAGTGGAATTGAATAAAAAAAACGTTTGATCAAAAAAAAAATTATTTTCTTCTTTTTTTGCTATTTATACTTGACTGCACTTTTGTGTGTTATTCTGCGTTTTATTATTAAACATTGAATTATTTAAATAAAAGTTAATATAGTTCTACTTCAGTAACAGCAACAGTTATATTCCTTAAGTTGATTTATGAAGGAAGTAATCAATTTTCAGAATTTCGACCGTCACTAGTGCAAGTTTAATACACAATCCCTCATAACAAAAGGATATCCATAGGATATCTATATCAATGGTCGATATCCTAGAATGGTCCCCAGGATATCTTGGGATATCCATAGGATATCCACAGGATATCCCTAAGACATCCACAAAATATCTATTGGATATTATATCGCAGGATATCCATGGGATATCTTCAAGATATTTATGGGATATCCTCAGGATGTCCGTGGGATATTCTTAGGATATTTACGGGATATTTAATATCTCAACATATATTTTTAAAGGTTAAAATTGTTAAGCTAATATAATGAATAATAATATAATAAAAACAAAAATCTTATGAGCTTCTAATTTATTTTAAATGAAGATTTGAAACGCATTTTTCAACGTTTTTAAATAAACTCATGCACTTAATGTATAATTAATATTAATAGTTATTCGTTATTTGCGGGGAAGAATTTATATTGTTTAAAGCCAATTTATTTTCTGACAATATTAAGCATATGAATAAAGGAATGAATCACGAATGAGAAAAAAATTAGTTAATAATTTTTCAAATTAAACAACTTTCTCGAAAAACAAGTTGCATTTTATTTTATTTATATAAAATTTAATTCACAGAATATTCTCACTCGTATAGTCTCATAATGACTTTAAAAACAGTATCCTGAGAATATCTTCTTGACATCCAGAAGATATACTGAAAATATCCTGAAAATATCTGTGGGATATCCTGACGATATCTGGAGGACATTTATGAAAGTCTATAGAGATATCCAAAGGATATCCAAACAGCCGATTTTTTGGATATCCTTAAGAGATCCTTTTGACATCCATAGGACATCCCTAGGATATCTGCGAGATATTATCAATATATCCCAAGATATCTTGTGTTATTAGGGATGAAACAAACAAAATTAAAAATATTTATTATAAACTATCATAGCTCGGGTAAGTTTACTATAACTTACCAAATAAATTTCTATAAATTACCGTATAAATTTCCATAAATTATCGCATAAATTTCCATAAATTACCAAAATAAAATTTTTAATTGTCGTTCGCGCTATATATATTTTTGTAAATTACCGCGAAAATTTTCATAAATTACCGAAATTAAAATTTTTTATTGCGATTTATGCTTTACATATTTTTATGAATTTATAGCCAAAATTTCTAGAAATTACCGTATAAATTTCCATAAATTACCACATAAATTTCCATAAATTACCGAAATAAAATTTTTAATTGTCGTTCGCGCTATATATGTTTTTTGTAAATTACCGCAAAAATTTCCAGAAATTACCGCGGAAATTTCCGTAAATTACCAAAATTATAATTTTTAATTGTGATTTATGCTTTACATATTTTTTTATTAATTTTAGACAAAATTTCTATAAATTACCGCATAAATTTCCATAAATTACCTCTAAAATTTCCGTAAATTACCAAAATAAAAATTTTTAATTGTCGTTCGCGCTATATATATTTTTGTGAATTACCCCAAAAATTTCCATAAACATTTTAAATCAAATTTCAACTATTTTATAGAATTCAAAAAGCAAAGAATTTTTTTTCTAATTTGTTTAAAAAAATTATAAAAAATTTTTCCGGCCTAGATATTTATTTCTTGACACTTTATCTTCAAAAATATGTATTGATATTTATTATTTCGATAAAAAAATATTTTTAATGTTTCAGACACCAAATCGTGCGCTACGCGGAGAATCAACCACATATATAAAAAAAAATTTATTAAAGTAAAAAAATAACATAACCTACAAAATGAAATTTACTTAAATTTTTGGTTAATTTACAGGATTCTTGTATATTTATTTTTAGGTTATAAAATAACATGCAGGTTATGTTTCTTTACAGCGCCAAGGTTAAAATTTTTTACACTGTAACATTTTTTGCCTAAAGTAAATAATTCAATGATAAAATTTTTAGATGATAAATAAATACAAAGACAAGAAAATGACCTCTTTTTGGAGAATCACCCTTATGAAAAATTGTATTGTATCAAAATTTATAATTAATTATTATAGTAAGGGAAAGACTATATTTTTGATTTATATATATAATCAAAACAAATGAGTTATCTTGGAAGATTATTTATTAATTCCTATTCTCCGAGGCTTTATGTGCAATTTCCTGATTCAGTTTTCCTGTCTCGAATCCCAGCAATATCCAATTATCGATCTCTCGAATAATACGGATATAATTTAATTCTCTCAAAGCTCGAAACCATTCTTGCTTGCAAATGCACTCAGTATCTTCCCCACTTTTCCAACCCCCTTTAGTTTCCCCCACCTTTGCGTGGATTTAAAAGTAGAGAGTGGGGAGGGAGACAAACAAAAGATACGGTCCAACTAATTGCTTTACACACTGGCCGATCACTTGTCATTCGCTTCTCCTTCGGTTACACCTCAGTAAACTTCTTTTTTTTCTTCTTCCTCTTCATCTCTATATATTCCTTCAATAAAAAAAATTTCTATTTTTTCATTACAAAAGTGATAGAATAAAAAATTAAGTGCTATTTGGATTTTTTGTGTATTTTTTATTGTTAACTAATATTAACAAACGTGAAGGAAAAAATGTTAATTCGGTACGTATATAATAATTTAGAAAAATTATAAAGTGAATTTTTATGTAATAATAATAAATTCTTTTTAAACTGTTATAATTGCTTTATTTACTTTGAAAAAAAAAAAAATTTGTTAGTTTAAGAAGAATTTTTATTTGATTCAAAAAAGTGTTTTTTAATTTTTAAAAAATATCTTTTATTTACAAAAAAAGATTTTTTAATCCAGATGGAATTATTCAAACAAAATTGCGTTGACTGTTACATTTACATGGAAAGCAAAAAAAAATTTTTCTCGAGGCAATAAATATTTTCAACCAAAATTTAATAATATTTCAAAAGTAAATTTTATTTGTGTCAAAAATGAATTTTATTTGTTTCAAAAAACATTTCATTTCGGCCAAGTAAGGTTTGTTTTTTTGCAAAAATTTAATTTAAATTTTAAAAAATGTTCAAATTAAATATAATTTCTATTCTTGTTTTAAAAGAAAACCTATTTGATTCGTCAATGAAAAAATTTGTTTATTATTAATAATAATAATTTTTTTTTAATATTATCAAAATAATATTAATATTATTTATATATTTATTTTAAATTTTCAAATTTCTATTTTTAGATCAGATTTACAATGCATTGTTATTTTTTATTACTTTGCAATTGTTTTACATTCGATTTGTGCTGAAGTTAAATTTAACAACAATTCCAAAGTTTATCAAAATGAATGGGTAGTTAGGATTCAAGGAGGACCGGAAGTATCCACACTACTCGCATTGAGATCAGGTTACATTCACATGGGACCAGTAAGTGAGTTTTTTGTTATATTGTAAAAAAAATTTTCATTTTCTTAATTAAAAAAAAATATTTTATTTTTAACTAATAAAATGAAAATTAATTATTTTATTTTAACTATTTTTTTTTTAAATTTCTATCAATTATTATTAGTTATATAAAAATTATGTAATTAATATTAATTATAATTATATATAAATATATAGTGTTTGCAGTCAATGAGAAAAGTTATTCTTAATCTACGGCTGACTGTGAATATCTTGTTCTACTGAAATTAATATTTGATTTTCACAAACGAGCTATACATAATGTTTCTGAAAGTTTTAATTTAGTTTTTATACTCCAGGTAGCTCATAAAACATATTTTATATAAAATACTAACTCAGTGTTGGCTTTTTGAAAAAAAAGGAAAATTGTAATTTAAAATTAAAATAAAATTTAAATATTCTAAGAATTTACGTATAGAATGAAAATACTTGAATTTAATTGAGTTTTCATAGTTTGAAACGGAATTCTTAACGAACAGAAAGCTTTTTTAATATTAAATTTCATCGGCGCTTGATTCTTGTCTTTATTACGTTCAATACCTTATATATTCGGGATTATTTTATTATAATAAAAAAAATTTTTTTTAATATGTGTTAAACACATGCTTTTGAAATAATTATATGAATACTTTTAATATGAACTTTATATAATTTTACACTATGTAAAATAGTTGCAAGTTTTATATATATTTTTTTTTTAATGCAATTTATTAATTAAATTATTTTTAAAAAAATGATAATTAATTTAATATAAATATTAATATTGAAAATTAATTACTTTTTGAAAATTTTATTTGATTCATTTGAGAAATTCTGACCCAATAATATATTAAAAAATGTTGAAGTAACGAAGAAAATATTAATATTTAATATTTTAAATATTTTATTTATAAATCAAAGAGAAACGAGGTTCTAATCACAAAATGCGGGCGTGAGAAAGAAATCAACTATGGCAAAATATAATGTGACTTTCTTACATCACACTTCCTTGTTTTAGAATAATTTAGAATGTAATTAAAAGTTAGCTTTTGTATGAATAATGTTATCTAACTTCAAAAATATTTCCATTATATTTCGTCGTTACAAAACAATTTATTTTACACAAAATTAATACATATAACAAAAATAAAAGAGGCGCATAAATTTTCACAAAAAAAAAAAATTCATTAGTTATAATTTTTATTTAAAAGAATTTTATTATTTAATTAATTCTAAAACAAATTATCATTTTTTGAAATTATATTTCACAGAATTTCTTTATAAACAAATTGTTACTTAACAAATTTTTTAGATACCGAATTTTTGTTTGACAGAATATTTATTTTACAAAATTTCTTTTTTCCTAACTTTTTATTTAAAAAATTCCCATTCAACCGAATTTGAAATGATTCGAATTTTTAAATATCAAAATTTCCAATTTACAAAATTTTCATTTGTTTGAATTTTTATTTGAAGAAATTTTCATTTGATATGAATTTTTAGAACGTCGAATTTTCATTTGTCCGAAACTGCAAACAGACGAAAAAACAATGTAAAGAAAAAGATTTTGGCGCGAATTTTAAAATCAATCAATCACAATTTTCTTGATAATTTCGAATAGGTTAATTTTAAAATTCGCCCCGAAATCTTTTTCTGTCCATTGTTTGTTCGGCCGTTTGCAGTTACGGAGAAATGGAAATTTTAAAATTTCTAACAAATGAAAATTCGTAGAAAAAAAATTCAGACAAATGAAAATTCTGTAAATTGGAAATTTTATCATTTAAAAATTTGAATCACCAAAAACTCTATGTCGAATGAAAATTTTGCTATAAATCAATATTTAGTTAAATTTAAATTAGAATACTTTCAAATAAAAACTATAAATAAAAATAAATAAAAATTCGGTACCTAAAAAATTTGTTAAATAACAATTTGTTTAAAAACAAATTCTGTCGAATGTTAATTTAAAAAATGATTAATTTGCTTAAAAAATATAATAATTAAAATCTAATAAAATTCATTGAAATGAAAAAAAGTACTAAATTAAAATTTTTTTTTTCAAAATAAACGCTTTTTTTAAAAAATTGTTTAACAAAATTTTCTTAATTTTAAATTTTGACAAAGTAATTGCTATTCAAAGTTAAAACTGATAATAATGACAATGACGCTCGCCATAGGTGTTCACATGCTAATTATACTAAACGGTGGTAGTTTACATACATATCAGTAAAATACACAAGTGCCTATATCGAAAATAGAACTATATAAGCACACCAAATGTATATGGTTTGCGGTTTAAAACGAGCTCTTATTTTGAAGTTGGGTTAAGTGTCACAATATTAAGCACCCGTTCACACGTGCACAAAGGCGATTTTCACAACTTGCCAAGAATAAGTTTGCTCACGCTTCTTCTTGTGCAGGTGTGTGTGAGTATATATATATATGGGAGATGCAATTAAAACTTGCACAAACTGTTTAATAACTTACGGTTAGTCACTTTGTAAAACCCGATTTTAGTTTAACTTGGGATATATAGACAGTCCTATATTATATATTCTCTTTTTGGAAATTTAAGCTTTTATGGAATAGAAAATTGAAAAATATTTTCAATCCCTTTTGCTACAATAGATTACACCAGTAATAGATTTTGTGGTATTCCCTTTCAAATTTATGTCGACAATTTCCTATAACCTTTATATTCAATCTAACCTTAAATAATCTATAAAAACTTAATTTTCTATCAATAAATGAATTTAATTTTTATTTGTTAAAAAAAAAAACTATATATCTAAATTTATATTTATCTCAAATAATAATAATTTAGAATAATAATTTACATTAGAAGAAAAAATATATTACTGTGGCATTGAGATTAGATTAATTAGATACTAAAAGAATTAATTTTTTGTAAATCCAGTCCCATGTAACTTCTTAATTGAACAAAGTTGTTCCAAATTAATATTCTTATTATTATCATAACAGTAGAAAAAAAATTGATAATAGAAAATTAGTTTTTAGAAATTTTTTTGGGGAAAAAAAAAGTAAAAGTCAACAAAGCGTAAATTTTCCCAATATCTTTCAACATCCCGCATCAGATACAAGCTTATTGACGTTATCTTTACTTATACGGTAGTTTCTGCTTACGCGGCCTGTGACTTTAGTTCGCGAACGTATGCACGAATGTAGGATAATCCGATAAGAGTCAATTTATTTTCAAGTGTTCGCCAAACACGTCGAAATATTATAATATATATGTATATTTATACGTGTGTGTATTTTATATAAACCCGCATGAGCTATTCACAACTATATTATATATGAATATTATTGTGATACGGTGATTCACGCAAACATGAGAAGAAGCCAATGTTATTCTTATAAATACTTTTGAACACATTGAGTAGTGTGTTGTGAAGTTAAAAAAAATAATTAAGTAACAATGTAATTTAACCTAAAGAAAAATTTTGAGGTGCAATTCGTTGTAACCCACTTGGAATGATTCCCCGGAAAGTGCCCCCTGGAGGTTCTATCAGAATTCCGCCGGAACTTTCAACGTAATTCCGTCGGAATTCCATCAAAGTTCCAAAGAATTTCCGATGGGATTCCGACGGAATTCCGATTAATTTTTTTCAAAATTTTTAGAGTCCTAATTCCATCGGAATCCCATAGGAAATTCTTTGGAACTCCGATGGAATTCCGACGGAATTACGTTGGAAGTTCCGGTGGAATTCTGATAGAACCTCCAGGGGGCACTTTCCGAGGAATCTTTCCAAGTGGGAATTCCCATCGTTAATGGGAATTTTTGTTCTCAGCTTTGGAATTATGATCAAACGAAACTAAAATGGGTCTTAAATATTTTCTGATACAAAAAAATAAATTAACGTTAATTATAGAAGAATATAATTAACTAAATTTTATAAAGTTGAGAGTCAAACTTAACGATGAGTCAATGTCAGCAGCAAAATTTCTCAACAAACTTATACTCAAAATAAAAGAATTTTAATTCTTTAAATTTTAATTAAATGCAAAAATAAATATAGATAAATAAATCTTCAAAAGTGATCATAACTTGCCGGAAAACTGCAACTAGTACGCTGATGTTTTAATAACAAGGCAAAGTGGTTCGTGTTGAGAGTATTTTCGCAAAATACACGCATAAAAAACCAAACAATTTTATGTAAAATAAAACAAATTATCAATTTTAATATTTATCATTACGTGATTTTTCTCTACGCGAGAAAAAAAAATTTCTATCATAATTAATCTCAATCAAGCTTACTAATATCGATAAATTTATTTATTCAATAGAAATTAACAAAACAAGCAAAAAAAATAATATAACTGACGATATGCGAAAAGTAATTCTCAAAATTTATTTCTATATCGTGAATTTAACAAGTTACTGAAAATGTTATCATTGTATTCTACCTTTTCAATATTCAAAGCGCTATACGATAAATCATGTTTCATAGAATGTAACAAAAAATCAACTTACACTTTTACTGTATTACTCTACCGCGTTAGGTTAATTTAATATATGAAATTTCAATTAATATGAGATCCAAATTCCATTTTTATTTTAATGATAATTATAAAATGTCGTCATTAAGTGTTATCAAAAACATACTGGTTACAATATCACGACGAATTGACACAATACTTTTTACTCTCAAATTTTCGGTCTGAAAGAAGTATGTTTTTCATTGCATACCGTCAACTGGGACTATTAGGTACAGTTTTAAAATTAGAAGACATAATTTTTTCGTTCACTAAGATATTGACTTTAATTTTGTTTTATTTAGTTTATCTTGGCAAGTACTTTAAACGATATAATTATTGTTTTGATCGAAACTGGAATTTTGAGGAAAAAAAACAGCAAAATTATCGTCATTTAAAATTATTCCAACGGGACTGCAGGCCAAAAAAGGTTGACTCATCGATATAAACAACCCGATTTCATGAACTTTTGTTGGAGTTATTAGGTT